GCTGCTTTGGGGTCATAGCAGAAGTCATTAAAAAAAAAAAAAACAAAAACAAAACAACATGTCCAGATCTTTACCTGAAGAGGATCTTTGAACTTTCAGTATGGGTACAATAATTTTTTTTTTTTTTTTTGCTTTGATTTAAAAATTCAGGAAGTTTGAAGGCAGTGTCTTCTGTAAACATGGCTAGGAAATGGCAAAGATGTAAAAAACCATTTTAATGCTGCTATCCTGCCTTGACTGTGTGGCACTGATTTTTCTGTCTTGGTTAAGTAGGGAATGTTTAGGTGGGTGGTCAGCCCTAACCCCGTTGGTTACAGCTCAAGGAAAAGCTGCTCTTTGCTGTGCAGAAGATGCTCCATGGAAAGCATTAACTGTGGCTGAAATTAGGGGCAGTGGGACAGCAGGAGAGCAATGGATCAGCTGGAGAGTGATGCACTTCAGCCAAAAGAAGCAGGCAGAACTCTGTCCATTCACAGCCTCTCATGCAGAAATCAGACCAAAAATGAAGAGCAATCAGACCAAAAAGAGCAATATATTGGGTTTTTTCTCTAAAAACAAGAACAGGATCTCATCTTCAACCAGTCTCACCATTCTGCTGCCACTGCATRCTTTTTCTTCCTCAGTGAAACAATTTGTATCCCAATAGGAGGAATGAATTATGTATGTCAGCTTTAAGCAATGCTGTTTTAGGGGATTTCGTCTTTGTACTTTAGACCATTATAATGAAAAGTTAAATATTAATAYGTCCTCAGAACTTTTCTCAAATATTTGTAATGTGAGACTGTTAATTTAAGAGGCGGTGAACAGAGGTACAATTTTTACATTTGGTTTTTGTTATCATGCCAGTAATTAGAATAGTGCAAGCAATGCAAATTAAATGTTACCAAGTAGGRAAGCAGTTGCTAGATAGCAGCTGGGGAACTTTTAATATACAGAAGTCTTACAAACTGGCCCCTCTGACATCTATGAGATTGTAGAATGGTAGTGATAGATGGCTGCTGAATGCATGCACTCACATTTGAAATGTCACTTGTTTGTCTCTCACAGTCCAGTAGAAGTGGCAATTATTTTGTGTGTCTCATCCATAAGAATCTCTTCTGTGACTTGATCCCGTACAGACTTGTGAGAAATGGTTTAATTTGCCCTTCTGACACTTCATGAGAAGGTCACCTTCATGGTTTTCAGTCTCCAAAAAATCTTGGTTGYTGTAATTTATGCCCTATCCCATTTCATTTTGTCTGGGTAGTCCCAGTATTCACACACCTTTTTCATCCAGTAATCTCCCAACAGAAGTGTTACCATGTCCTCCCCCTCATTTTTTTCTGTAGCTGCTGATAGGGAGAGGCAGAAATTGTATTGCTGTGGCTTCTTATATTCAGTGTTTCCCCTGGACATCTCCCACTTTGAGCCGAGGTCTTTGTAGGTTCCCAAGTGCATTAGAAACACCTTCTGCCAGGGAGAGGTGACAGAGGTTCTCATGTTTTCATGTGAATGGTCTTCAGAGTTCTTGTCCTCAGTGCACTGGAATTCACAGGTCCAATTCCTGCTCTTGGTGCTGGAGGGTCTAAATGGAGTTTTCTGGAAGCTGTGCACGGATGTTTCCCTTCTCAGATGATTTAAGGCCTACACACGTAGTTTCCTTCTCTCTATTTATTAATATAYACACACAGCTGATTATTGTGTTGATAAGCAGGGCTGTTTATCTTTCTCTTTTGAGAAACTGAAATTTGGTGCCTATATAGTTTGCATCTTCCTGATTAGATTAATAACTAGTGGTACCACATATTTGAGCAAGATGGGCCAAGACTGCATTTTGGACAAATCCTTCCTGGGGATGGARCAAAGGTCTTGTTCTAACAGCTCCTGTATTCAAGTAACAAACTGAAAATTCACGCAGTTGCTCACACTCCTGGCTAAATTCAGGGGATTTTGCTGCACTTGCAGTATTAATTCTACTCTTTATTAATCATTAAAGGCACTGAATGCTGCTGATCTTAAAGGTCTTTTACAACCTAAACAATTCYAGGTCTCTTTGTCAGCTGCTTCACACTCTCAGTGTGCATGATCTTTTGATTGGTTCTTGGAGCCATGCATGTGCAGTACTTATCATTAGATTATAATTAACTGTAATTATGTATGGAGATCAGCCCRAGCCATAAAATGGAGATTTAGATATTTACTATGCTAATAAGAAGATTTGGTGAGGATAAAGGGCTTGATTTTTTAATTTTTGCTTCCACAATAGTGTGACGGATCCTTAGTGAAATTGTTAAAATTAGTCAGGCTGCCGTTACCCTCCATATTCCAGTTTATCTTACTGCACATTGCTATAGGTGAGGTTCAGGCCCAAAAGGTTTTCTCATTGGCATCATRAAGAAACTGAGGCACTAAAAAACAGAGTGCAGGAGCCCTGCGAGGTGRGCTTGTCCACAGACATGCCAGCAASTGTTTGGAATTMTATAAAAACATTCCTGATCGCTATTCACTTATTATACAAACAGTGCAGGTGGGATTTCTGCTGAGGAAAGGGAAATATTCACCTTTATTTTGATGCTGCAGTTTTAAAAACTGTTAAAGTCCARGCACAGGGATTCTCCAGATGTGCTGGGTACAGTTGTATCGGGGTGTGCTGTTCCTGACACCACTGAACAGGGAACCAAGTGCAGTGTTGCCATACTGACCCCACAGTCTGATTTTGAAGGCTTTATTGAAAAAAAAAMCCAACCAATTAAATAATATTGGAAATGATAAACTCGTTTGAATCGCCTCTATGGTGAAGGCTCTGTATTAGCCTTTAGCTTTTGCTGGGGAGATGATAGTTGCTTTTTTAATTGTCTGTTTACATCTGGAAGCAAATCTTTCATGTTGTGTAAATAATTTAATCTTTATTGCTATTACTGCTGCATAAAAATTGTTGCTGTGTTGATACCTGCTGGCTAAGTGAAGCAGGAAGGGATGGATACATTTATGTAAGGTGCTATTTACTGTATTTAATGGAAATGAAAGGTGAAATGAGTTAGGAAACACCACACTAGAGTTATTATTTTTCTTCATTTTAGAACAAAGCATCAGTGTTGCAGGACCTTGGTTAATGGCAGTCTAATGACCTGCATACACTGAAATGCTCCCCTCTCCCTTTCTCCCTGCTGTGGTGTTTTAATGTGCTTTGCCCTCGAGTAGAAGGCTTCATTTTGGAAAGATTTCTTTATGGAGCAGGGGCCTACAAAAGGATTTTRAAAGTTTCTCTGGACACAGTTCCTGGTGCAAGAGCATGGAGGAGTTTGACAGAGGGGGGATGAGGTGGACAGGAGCTCTGTAGTTGGAGTGGCTGCTGGATGTTTCACATCCTCACTTTAGTATTTTCTTCCTAAAACCACTTCCACACTCCTGACATTACTCATGTGGCGTATTTTTAAAGTTTTAACTTTTTAAAACACATTCTAAGTTATCTTTTGAAAAGGCACATTACCACAAAAAATGGAGGAACTGCAGTACTTGTCCGCGTGACTAAAAAATGCTCAGAATTTATTCAGGTGTTTAAATGTGTCAATTAAAATGATTGCCTCTACTAACATTTCTGCCCTAATTGTGAAGAAAATTGAAGCCAGTTTGTTTACTGAGAGTGTCTGACTCCTGCCACAAGACCCGTAGAATCTGTCTGCTTAGGGAAGAAGTGAGCCAGCATGTTATTAGATAATTACCTCCTATTGAAAAATAGACATGAAGTGAGTGAAGGAATCAATTATGTTTCCAGATTGGACTGTGTACAGTTTTCTGTGGTTTACATTACTTGATTATCAATTATGATTGCTTATTAGGCCTCAGTATTAAAACATGACTGGACTGCATTCTCAACTTGGCTTGAAGCCCACAATATCATGTCTTCAAGTGGTGCAGCTCATTGCTGTAGGACACCTCAATAGTTGCTGTTTACAATAAGTGGCAAGAGGTGGTAAAAGCATGCCCAATTCTGCCTTACTTCATGTTCCCAGCAGGAACATATATTTTTTTTAACATTTTTTTTTTCCGGTTATATCTTAATTCAACCTTGATGAGACAAATCTTCCCTSCCTGTGACACTTGATGTGGGTGTGTGACAGCCTGATACTCCTTTTCCAATTCTCAGGGCGAGCTGGGGAAAGAAGAGTGTTAGCAGAGGATGGTGTGGCCCATATGACATTAGCAGCACWGCAAGATTTTGTTTTTGCCCTGACTGTAGAAGGTGGCTGGAGCCAAATGGCTCCTTAGAGAGTTTTATGGCCACAAAGCTGGTGATTTCTGTCCCTGCCGGGGCTCAGGTCAACACCTCTCCTGAACGTTTTTTTTTGTCATCCAAAATGCTCCTTGATCAGACCTTTGGCAAAGCTTCTGCTTTCAAAAGTTCTGGTCTTCAATGGAGATAACACAGCATGTGTTGGTTCATGGATCCCAGTCGAATTCCCAGTTGCAATATGCAGAGCAAAATAGTTTGTGTCCAGAATGTTTGACTGTATGTGTGTTGTGTACTGTGGAATATCTGTTCTAGGAGAAACAGAAGAGTTAATCCAAAAGCTTTAAAATCATGCATTTCAATATGAGGTTTCTGTGTACATCTGTTTTAGAGGCTCAAACGTTGCCTCTCAGATTATTGGAATGGATAATTGGAATATTGGATTATTGGTTCTGATTATTGGAATCCATCTGACTCCTCCCTGATGATCAGAGAAGCAGATATCTGCTGAAAACAGTGCTGCTTTGGTCCCCATGCTTGAATTTTTGTGCACCCAGACTGAGACTTGTTGCTTAACAGCTTTCATGGGAGATCTTTTATTTTTAGTAATTTCCACAGCAGATKAAGTATTTAGCTCTTGGACTATTGCTAGGGATAGGAAATCAGGAGTTAAGTGACAGCCCTGTCTAGAATGCTTTGATCTGTCAGACAATCTTCTGCTGTGGGTATTGCAGTTGCATACTGCTAACCAGTGTTGCTAACCTGTACTAATTTCAATTTCCCCTTGCAGTAATGCGTAGAAATCCATTCGGGATGGACATTTGCTGTCGGAAAGGATCCAGAAGCCCACTCCAGGAATTGTACAATCCCACCCAGGTGAGTGTTTTGTGGCTGGAATTAAGCTTTTTCCAGTCCAGCATACAAACACAGTCTCTTTTGAAGAATTTYGGTCTGTTTTTCTCATTTACATGCAACAGCTGCCTTCAGTGTGGAGAATGTATTCTGTAACCTGCAGGGTTTAGCAGGAATGTTCTACAGTCTGAGCTAGCTAAGGGTCTGAYTTTTAAGGGCTTTTAGTTGTCTTAATGATATGGACTCCTCCAAAATCTTTTCTTAGGTACCCAAAAGCCTTAAAAKGATATAGTTTTTAGATCTAGCTGGAAGCCAAGGCATCGTGTTGACACAAGAGTGGTGGAGTGGGGTGAGAGAATGCAACATGACCTCCATGAGACAAGGAGTGCAGTCAGACTGTAAATTGCAATAATAATACATGAACATCATTTATATGACTTTCAGGTAGCCAGCTGCCTTTCCTGTCCTGGTTGGTGGCTTGTATGGAGTCTAGACAAACCCTGCAGCTCATGTTCTTCCTTACAGTGTGCACCATTCAACACTTGGATGTCTTGATGGGAGCTTAGGATAACCTCAGTTATTGTYCCTCTTGTGAAAAGCAGCGTAGGAAAACTACCTGAAATTCATGCCCCTGTTTGCTCCTCTGGATCAATTTATTCCCTACATGTGGGCTGAATTGGCACATTCAGGAGAAGCATTTCCTGTTGGCAGCTGAGAGGAAGTGGTGCCATTGAGAGAAAATGCCAGCTGACTATTAAACATATTTATTAAAGTTTAACAACCGCCTATTATATATTTATCCATCAATGAATACATTGAGTTTTACTAAATTGGCTATTAGGCAAAGTGACTATCCCAGTAAATCTAACTTGTTAGATTTAACAAGGCAGTAAATGTTTTAAATACTACTTGATTATGAAGAGACTCACTATATAGTGTGCAAAACGAAGTCTGAGGGATTTAAAGTATTTACATAAAGAATTGACAGCGACCCAAAGATATGTGATATCTGTTATGTAGGGCAGTAAAGCTCCATTTGCTCGTTAGTGTTGTTTTTATGAGCACAGGCTGACTTTCTAATTCAATTTGAATTCTGTGCATGGCTGGGAACATAAGTTTGTCACACTATGATAACAGCTTTTATTGACCATTATGGGAATCAGCATTGCAGAGATGGAAAGAGCACGCAGAAGTCCTGAAGAGGATCAATCCTGTGCTGCAAAGGAAAACTATTAGCATCTGCAGGTTAAATTTAATCTCCTTGGAGATTAAAGGAGATTATGTTTGTTATGCAGAAGTGTTTCCATCAKCTTGCTGATACCTGTTTTTTATCAAGAATTCATTTTTGTTTCTTTCTTTGGTCTTAGTTTTTGTTTGATTTTTATTTTTTTTTTTTGGAAGAGGCTGCCCTCAGTACCAGAGGGACAGACAAATGAGCATATGCAGACTGGGAAAACAGTAACAAAAAAAGGCAGTGAGAGAGGCTGCCAGAGAAAGCAACAGACTGGAGGGGACACCTAGAATGTTTCCTCAGATACATGTTCATCCTTTTTTTCCTTGTTTTTGCCCAAAGAGATGTTCATCTCACCTTTCTTTAGGTGGCAGACTAGAAACTGTTGCATATTCTGGCAGGAGGATGCTTATTCCTCGAGAGTTCGAGGATGCAGGGATGGAGATGGGATCTCTCACCTTTCCTGCCTTAAGCAGTTGCAAACAGCCATTTGTAAAGTCAGCTCAGAAGTCAAGATATAATAAATATTCAAGAAGACAAGGCCAGGCTGGATGGAAGGTCTAGTGCAAGGGGTCCCTGCTCATGGCAGTTGGAACTGAGATGATCTTTGAGGTCCCTTCCAATCCAAATCATTGATTCTATGAAGACATTTTTGCCCAAAATCTCTCTCTTACTGATGAAAACAATGAAATCAGTTTGATCTTYAACCTCTGACTATCAGAACCCGTTGGATTCCTGATTTTGTGAATCCMCATTTCTCTCCTGGTGCCTGTGGCTGTGAGCACCATCCAGAAAATCTCTGGCACTCAGTTCAGCTTCCTCAGAGCAACAGCAGAGCTGATTGAGCAGAGATTTGTAGTTCTCCGTGTAGTTCAAAGTAATATGTGTAATTTAAACACCAAACTTAGGCCACTGAAAGATACCCTGAAGCTATGGTTTTGGATTACTGCAAGTTGGTGTAGCTGTGATTTTTTTTTTTTTTTTAAGGGTAGGAAACTTCAAATTTGAGCTACATTAATGGCCTATAGTGCCTTGTGTTGTGTGTGCTCCTGGCTGTTCCCTGCCTGGGGAGATGAGAGTTTGCCCATCGACTCAAATAGATGTCAGACAGGGTCAATACTCACTGAGATGTCACATGCTGTAGTTTAATATGAATAAGGTATTTCTGCTGTGTGTTTAATATCAAGTTGCACTGCCCTCATAAAACCAGACAGAGACAGGTTGATTTACACCAGCTGAGAATTTGACTGTGGTTATTTACTGTGTTGACATATAACAGCCTCTCTGATCCTGGCCTGTTGTTTCCTTCTRTGGAATTACTTGTGTTGTTTGCAGAGGCCATTATTTGTCTCTCAAATCTTTTTTTGGCCTGGTGAATGGTTGTGAAAAGGAAAGAGAAAGGAAAGGAAGAAAAGAAGAGAAGGGAATAAATAATAATAACTTAAAAAAAAAAAGCTGAAAGAAAGATTTGGCTTCAGGAAATTGAAATGTAGCAAGATCTGAAGTTAACGGAGGGGATTGTTTGGTGGTTTGTAGGGGCTGAATGTTAGAACTGCTCTCAGATTTTCAGAAGACTCATCAAAATTGTTGCTATGTTGAGTGCTGAAAGAGAGGACCAATGGGTGGAGATGGACACWTTCTCAAGCCCTAATTCAAGTGCTATGACAAAATCCATGTAGGGYTTATGCCTGAGTGGGTGTCTGGCCTTGTGATTATTGTAAAAGTAGGAATAACTCATTTGCTCTTTTGCCTGTAGTAATAAAGCAGAAAATAGGAAGTGCATTTGTCTGTGGACAAAAGATGTCTTCTCTAGGGCTTTCACTGCAAGATTTTTCATGAGCACTAATATACCATGAGGGAAAGAAAAGTCAATATAACTGAACTGGATTTACACTGAGTAAGTGGATTTCCAGGCTGTGGTCTCCTCATGCACGGCAGGCAATGTGCAGCATGTCTGAGACCCAATTATATTTTATTTTGCCTTTCATTTTCAGGTGGAGATTTAGTAATAAGGTGCAGAGATACCAGTGGCAAGTTTGGAGGGCCAAAATGAACCGTTCATTTCAAATTTATATAATTATAAATGGAAAGAGGAAGAGGATTCAAACACACAAATAGCAAAGCAGAGAATCTAGATATAACTGAATGCAGACAAAGGGCCCTGTAGGAATGTGACATAARCTTGCATTTTATCTTGGGTGGATTTTGTGGGATTTTTTTTGCATATGAAACCCCAGGGATTTAAGAATGTGGGTAAACAAATAYTTGCAAGACATATTCTTAGAAGACAGCGTATTCAACTGTGTCTTGTAATTTCCATGGCTGGGTAGAGCCCCATTGCTCCRAGAATAACAGATAATTGTGGGTCAGCCCATGAGCTGCAGCCACCAGAAGTTCAGAATTGGGTAACATCACTCACATTTTCGTGGTTAACATTGATCTATTTGGTGCAGTGAGCATGCTACTGAATTACAAGAAGTTGCAAACCAAAATAGGCCAAATGTYAGAAGAGTGGGAAATAATTGCATCTTTAAGGTTGGATTTTGTCTTCTAGTCAAGATTAACATTTAATTCTCATTAAATACAAGTAGCACCTTTGCTTATTCTAACTGTCTAGATTTTTGAGAGGCACACAGAAGAGATAAAGTTCTGTATCCATCAGGATCCAAGTCCAAAGGATGAGTTTGTTTCAGTTTCTAGTTTGACGTTKCCTAACTTTAATTCATGAATCGACGTGACTGTTTTGCTAAAGGTCACACTGTTTGCTATGTTACTTGCCTTGGTAAACACATTTCTTTTTGTCAAGGGGAAGTATTTCTAGGTTTTGGTGTATCTGCAGCCAGGTCTAGTGATTTGCTGAAACTGGTGGGTCAGAGCTGTAGACCRTGTGTTTGTTGCCTTTGTATTATGAAATTGTATTGCACTGGTTTGGTGCAGTCATTCCAAAATTACTCATTTCTTTCATTACTTCTATTTTTTCCCCTCCTCTCCCTCACACAAGGAGAAGGCAGTAAGTGAACYATTGCCTTGCAGACAGGGTTTATACATCCTAAGTCACCTCAGGCCACAAATGCTGCTTTTTGGGAGCTGCCCTGTGATTATCTGTGGCTTGGACTGCCTGGATAGCCCCAGCAAATATCAGCCTAGTTCAGCCCACATCACTCACCTGGGTTATAATTTCCTACCTTCAGTTGATTTCTATTCCCTTTGTGGGCAGCTCTGCCAGYTCCTGGACAGAGTCTGGTGAGCTTTGTGGTCTGAGCTCTGTGTACAAATCATCCACAGCACTTTGGATYAAAGGTTCCAATGCTTAAGAGCTGATATTTCTGTCCTTGGCGAGCCTGAGGTGCTGAGCACTGTGAACTTTGTCTCAGTTCAGCTTCTCATTTTCAGAAGAGCCAAAGAGCAGCTCATTGAGCAGGATGAAAGGTCCAGTTCACTTGTCTTCAGCAGCAAGTGGCTACAAGAAAGATAAAGAACTCATGATTTTCTTCCAGAGCAGAGCAGCCTGTGGCTCATGAGCTTCCTGAGCCAGATTTGTGTTTTTTCATCAGCTGCATCATGCAAGAAAAGCCTGAGATGCCAGACAATTACTGCATCAGTCAAAAAGGGGAGAAAAAAAGTAGATCCTCCAAATTTACTTGACAATATCCATTATATTTTCTCCAGTTTTCACGTAGATGTGTTCTGGGTTTCAGATTTTTTTCCTTAAGACAGCAATAGAACTATCCTGGGAAGTGAACTTTCAAGTATGAGAAAGAACGGGATGTTTGAATTTTTTGATGCTTTGCAA